GTTGAAGAATGGGGTTGGTATTTGTATTGGGATTGCATTAAATGTGTAAATTGCTTTTGGTAGTATTGCCATTTTCACAACATTGAGTCTTCCTATCTTAACCCTTTATAGGATGAATCTGTTTGTTGTCCTAGCAGTCCATGGTACCCTCAATACTCTTCTCCAGCACCAAAGCTCAGCAGCATCAATTCTCCTTCTATCCTCCACAACAACAATAATATACAAGATCAAATAGTCACCATTTATACAAAAACAAACATGAGAAGGTAAAGAGGGACAGAAAAACTGGATGGATATAAATGAGGAAGATAGTCATACTGTTGCTGTTCTTGTTGTGTATTGTAGAGTCAGAACTGACACATTCCTGGCCCTCTGGAGGGTTTTCAGAGGCAGGTAATTGCATGGGAAGAGATTGCCTCTCCTTCTCCCACAGAACAGCTGATGGCCTTGAGCTGCGTGCCTTAAGGATTGCAGCCCTTCTTGCCACTAGGCTACCAGAGCTCCCTATTACAGGGATAGTAATCAATGTCATGAACAATTCATCATGAACTGTTTAAGTGGGAATTTAATTTGAAGTGTAGACTGTCACCTATAACACGAGGAAATATTTAAAATAAACAAAAACAAAGATTAGAACAGAAGGGAGACAGAAAAACTAGTTTAATGCAAACAGAACAAAAATACACTTGAAATTATAAAAGCAGTATTATGATCAATGGAGAAAAGACCAAAGTTGTCAAGGATTTCATTTTACTTGGACCTACAATCAATACCCAAGGAAGCAGCAATCAATAAATTAAAGGACATAATGCAGTAGACAAGTCTGATGCAAAGGACCTCTTTCAAACAGTACAGAGCAAGGACTTTGAGGACTGAGATAAGCCTCCTTGAGCCATTGTATTTTCCATTGCTTCACATCCATGTGAAAGATGTATCTCTGTATCACAGATGTATGTCATACATAAGGAAGACTGAAGAACTCATGCTTTTGAATTGTGGTGTTGGTGAAGAGTACTGAACATACCAGGGTCTAGCAAAAACAAATTTGTCTTAGGAGAAGTGCAGCTGGAATGCGTCTTAGAAATGAGAATGGCAAGATTTCACCTTTCATGCTTTGGACATGTTATCAAGATGGGCCAACCTGGAGAATGGCATCATGCTTGGTAAAGTATAGTGTCAGTGAAAAAGAGGAAGACCCTCCAAACGGTGGGCTGGTACAGTAGCTGTAACAGTGGCCTCCAGCTGAGCAGCAATCCTGAGGGTGCAGCATGGGCAGTGTTTCCTTCTAGGACTAAGACTCGAGTGCAGTTAAACCAAGTTAAATCAGGTAGATTACCTAAAAACAAGGCTGTTCTAAGAAGACCTACACACACTGTTTGCTTACCTTACAATTACATTTGTTTTTCTGGTTCTTTCTCCAAACCACATAGTAGATGGCTTAATGCTGATTGTGCGGAGTGGAGTTCTATTTTTGGAAGTCATTCCACAGGGCAATTTGTTCCACTGAAAATATTCCTCCGCCTAAAAAAAAAAAAAAAAATATA